CAGCTCGTGGTTAATCAGGTCATAGGAGAATACGAAACTTGCAAACCGATTATGATTGCCTACTTAGCCAAAGTAAGAGAGGCTCTGCTCAATTTCCAGTCACACTTCATCCAACAGATCCCGAGATCAGAGAATGCTGAGGCCGATGCCTTATCCCGGTTAGCCAACACCAATGATAACACCATGAGAATCATGTATATAGAGAACTTACCTCGGCCTAGAATTCTCGGGGGCAGAGGAGGTTGCTCCCGTCGTTCAAGCAGAACCGAGTTGGATCAATCCGCTCGCAAGCTTCCTGCTACACAGAACCCTCCCTGCAGATCATAATGCTGCAATAAGGGTAGAGCATTAGGCAGCCAAATACGTCATGATAGACGAACGACTGTACGGAAGATCTTACACGCTCCCCTACCTGCGCTGCTTGCGACCTTCCGAGGCCGAACTCGTCCTCCGCGATACTCATGAGGGCCTATGCGATAGACACTTGGGGGGCAGGGCCTCACCCAGAAAGCGCTACGGCAGGGGTATTACTGGCCAACGATGAAGGCAGATGTAGTCGAGCTCGTTAGAAGATGTGACAAGTGTCAAAAGCACGCCAACATCCACCACCAGCCTGCCGCCGACCTAAAATATCTTACCAGCCCGTGGCCCTTCGCACAGTGGGGGATCGACATACTCGGACCTTTCCCACCAGTAACAGGGCAGAGAAGGTTCTTAGTGGTGGTAGTCGACTATTTTACTAAGTGGGTTGAGGTTGAACCTATTGCGACGATTAGAGCTCAGAATGTGCAAAACTTCTTATGGAAGAGTAGTATGCCGTTTTGGACTACCCCGAGTACTGATCTCCGACAATGGTAAGCAGTTTGAGGACATCAAATTCCAAAATTGGTGCAAAAACAAGGGGATGCAACAAAACTTTACCTCGGTAGCGCACCCTCAAGCAAACGACCAAGCGGAAGTTACGAACAGAGCCATCCTCCGCGGACTGAAGGCACGCCTGGACCGATCTAAAGGACTATGGGCAAACGAGCTACCCAGTGTTCGGACCATGGTGAAGCCCGCTACAGGGGAGACTCCCTTCAACCTCACTTATGGCCCCGAGGCAGTTATCCCAGCCAAGATCGAGGTTCCCACGCTACGTCTACAGTAGATCGATACGTATAACGCCAGGGTCAAAAAGCGGAACCTCCGCATCGGAGACCTGGTCCTTCGTAAAGTTATGGTGCCTGAGCCTAGTGTTGGTAAGTTCGGGCCAAATTGGGAAGGACCCTATCGAGTAAAGAGGGTGCGCGGGGAAGGAACGTACGAGCTCAAAACCCTAGAAGGGAAACAAGTACCTCGGGCATGGAATATTGTCAACTTAAGGCAATATTACCTATAAAGTACCAAACTGAGTGGACTACAAGTCGCTCTCTGAGCTTAAGGGCCAAAATGCTGAGCTAACAAAAAGACCTCGGCGCTATAAGACCCAGTCGCCTCTTCGGCGTGGACAAACTCCAGGAGGGGGTGGACCGTAGTCACTCCCAAAGCATAAGGGCCAAAACGCCCAACTAATGATGACCTCGGCACTATAAGACCTAGCCGCCTCTTCGGCATGGGCAGACTCTAGGAGAGTGTGACTATAAGTCACTCCTCCAGACCAAGGGCTAAAACGCTGAGCTAACTAAGGGCCTCAGCACTATATATGACCTATCCGCATCGTCGACGTAGGCTTAGTATGCCAAGGACGCATGCAACTCGGTATACAACAAGTTGGACCCACTAGGGACAACTATCAATTCAAATAACCTAGGAGTAGATAGGTCAGCCATATGCCTTACTATGTCACTCACCTCGGTGTACGTTATAAAAATCACCCCTACAAAGTACTGGGAGACAGTTCGGGGTGACGACAGTTGAGAAACCCTACTTCGGGCACTTAACTCTAATAGCTCGGATAGAGCAATCATTTCGACAAAAGAATAAAGTGACAACACTTGGCAAAAAAAATTCATTGATGGAGAGTTCTATACAATGAGCTCAATATATTAAAAAAAAGAAAAAAGAGAAGAGGAAACTAAAACTGAGCTCGCAGGCTCATAGTACAAGGACAACTATTTTGGGGGCTCGTCGTTTCTACTCGGGACCTCCTCGGGAGCTTCAGCCAGGTCGGTGACATCTACCTCTTCGTTGCCACCCTCGTCTTCAGAATCTGGATCCTCTATAGCTTGACGGGCTATGTCATTCGTGATCTGTGAAGTGGTGATGGCACTTGTGTCGAGCTTGGGGTACGTGTGCCTTATCAAACACCTGCTAAGCTTGAAGCCCTTACGATAGGCCTCCCATAGCACGACGTCGAACCTGTCTGACTTAACATAGTCCGTAACGGCCTTGACCTTTGTCTCCTCTATGGCCTGGGTGAAGATCTCGATTTTATCCACAATATCAGCCTTGAGGAACTCCACCTCGTGCTCTAAGGTCCCCTTGTCTGCCTTGAGGGCGTTCACCTCGCTCCTCAGCTCGTCCCTCTCGGGGAGAACGCTTGAAGCGCTCTTTTTTATTGAGAGAATTGAACAAAAAATAACTAAGTCTAAAGGGAGGGCATAATAAAAGCAGAGGGAAATGGTCCCAACCACATTACGAATAGAGTTCGGGTGAAGCTGGTCTATTGTGACGTTAAAGTGATTCGGAACCTCTATGATAAGGGGGTGGAGAGGAAGACGGAGCCCGGCTATGAGCTGCTCCTGGAAGATCACGATCTCGTCAAGACCATGCTCCCTTGGGAAATTCCCCGCTGGCAGACTGTAGGTATACTCCCTATGTAAGTCTTTGCAACTGTCATAACTTAGCATCCATGGCTTCCTCCAGCAATGCCGGACGAGGTGCCGACGAAAACGCCTTTGAGGAGCGACCTCAGCTTCCCACTTTCTGCATTGGATAGTTCACCGTCTCCTTCTCTGCGGACGGAGTTCCCAGCCTAAATGTGCCTCAGATAGTGGCACCTGTTAATGCCCCACTTCCTTCCACGATCGGAACAACCTTCACTGAACTTATATGTATTCATAGTCATCAATAGAGAAGTAATAATTTTATAAATAATAATGAACTTATAATAAATCTAAAAGTATGATGGATGTTGTATGAACAATTAAGAAACCGTAAAATTTTAATAGTAATTTATATATCTATATATATATATATATCAATTTGGAATTTGTAGTTTATTCTTTAAAAGGAATCTATTCGTGCGAGTAGATTTCTCACGTACAAGCAATTCGTCCGTGTATCCGTTGCATGATACGCATGTGTCTGGATATCTCTTTCCATCTCTCGAATCACTTCTGCATTTTTCTTCGAGATGCTTCTTCTCACCTTCCATCTCCTCCGTCCCCCGCCTCCCTGTTAAATTTCTTGTTATGCTACCTCTCTTTTCATCCTCTCTCGAATCACGTATCTGGATTTCTCTTTCTTTCCATTCTCTCTCGAATCACTCCTCCCATTTCTTCGTCGAGAGAGAATGGATGTTGATGAGGGCAGATTTGGCCCTCCAATTGAATTATGACACCTGGCACCTCACGACAGCTCTCCAAGGAGCTCGGCAGCTCACCAAGGAGCTAGGCAGCTCTCCAAGGAGCTCGGCAGCTCACCATGGAGCTCGACAGCTCACCAAGGAGCTAGGCAACTCTCCAAGGAGCTTGCCAAGGAGCTCGGCAACTCTCCAAGGAGCTTGCCAAGGAGCTCAGCAACTCTCCAAGGAGCTCGCCAAGGAGCTCACCAAGGAGCTAGGCAGCTCTCCAAGGAGCTCGCCACCAAGGAGCTTGGCAACTCTCCAAGGAGCTCGCCAAGGAGCTAGGCAGCTCTCCAAGGAGCTCGCCACCAAGGAGCTTGGCAACTCTCCAAGGAGCTCGCCAAGGAGCTCGTCACCAAGGAGCTAGGCAGCTCTCCAAGGAGCTCGCCACCAAGGCAGCGCACTCAACAGCTCATCAAGGTGGCTCACTACTAGGGAGTTCGTCATCAAGTAGCCACCAGGGAGCTCGTTGCCATAGGCAGCTCACCAATTGCAGGGTAGCTTGGTACAAAAGAGCAGTTCGGCATATCGCAGGAAGATCTCTTGCCTGACAACCGTACCTGACAGATCTGGTGGCAGCGCCTACATCTCTTGCCAGGCGGCATCGTGCCTTCCGTCTCTGAAAAGCATGGCACGCCTGACGAGTTTGTACCCTGCAGCAGCAGCCTGCACCTGCCACCTCAGTCCTGGCAGTAATGGCTAGGGCAGTGGCGGTTACGCCTGATGTGACTGGGCACCACTATATAAGGACTCCGACCCCCAAAGCCAAGGGGGGGGGGGAGAATGAAAAGATGGAGGTAATCCCTACTCTCTACTTCTCTCATTCCTCTAATATCATCTTCAAGCCCTCTACAATGAGAGTGCTAACTTAGGCATCAGAGAGTCCTCGCCGGGTAAATACCCTCGGGCCCCCTAGTTCAGTTCTCGCAGGTTTCTCAAGCTCTCGCCGCCTACAAAGAGGAGGAAAGATGGAGTTCTCGCAGGTTCCTCAAGCTCCCGCCGCCTACAAAGAGGAGGAAAGATGGAGTTCTTGCAGGTTCCTCAGCTCCCGCCGCCTACAAAGAGGAGGAAAAAATGGAGTTCTCGCAGGTCCCTCAGCTCCCGTCGCCTACAGAGGAGAGGAGATCACCTCATGCAGAGGGCAGTCGGGTCGCGCTACACCAGGGAGTTCCACCATCCTCTGAGTTACAGGCCGCATAGGAGCAGGTCAAATGACGAGTCCACCAAGGTAGCTCACCACCAGGGAGCTCAGCATAGCTCTCCCCCGGGCAGTTCACCATCAGGGAGCTCGACATAGCTCTCCCCCGGGCAGTTCACCATCAGGGAGCTCGGCATAGCTCTCCCCTAGGCAATTCACCACCAGGGAACTCCACCATCCTCTCCTGGGAGCAGGTCAAATGACGAGGTACTTAGCCAAAAAATAAAAAATTGGTACGTGACCAGAAACGGTTACATCAGATGTGATATCCATTCCTCCTCTTTACTCCGCCTTACAGCAGGTCAAACACCAATCTTCTTCTCCCTCTCGATGTGCTATCCATTCCTTCCTCTCTCCTCCGCCTTTCGCGTTGACTACTCTTATAACTTGACCCAGGACGAGCTCTGCACCAAGATCTCACTCTGTGACGCCTTAATCGTCAGTTGGCTGCCTTAAGGTAATAGAGCCAATAATACTTATATTAGAAAACAACAGCAGAGAAAAAAGACCAGAACATATATAGACCAGAAGGATCAATCCTCACCGGCTTCAATGCATTCTGGTATTCGCACCACCTTCTTGCCATTGTCTACATATTGCTTGTCGTTCACGGCACCTTTCTCTACCTCGCCCACAAATGATACCTCAAGACAGTAATCGCTAAATTAACATTTCATTACTGGTTTCTTTGGTAATATGCACTTTAGTTGGTGGTTTAACTTTTGAGTTGTGTTTGTTTGTAAAACTTGCAGGCGTGGATGTATCTAGCTGTTCCTGTTTTGCATTATGCGGGAGAGAGGACCCTGCGATTCTTCCGCTCTGGCTTTTACTCTGTTCGTCTACCGAAGGTAATCACTTATCCTGATAGCATATTAGTTTGCCAGGGTCTCGAAAGTGGGCCCAATTCAGAGCTATCTGAATGTGTGCCAAGTGTTTGAGACTTTGAGGCACTGGTCCAAATTCAGAATGAGAAGTGCTACCCCTGTTCTAGGGCTACTGAGTGATATGATCTATATACTTTGGTGGTTGTCAGTGTGAATGCTTCTGCAATTCGTAAGAAAAAAAAGTGAAGAAAGAAACAATTTCATTGTTCTTATAACAATATAAATGATAAAAATCACTGTAGACTTCTAAATCTCAAGATTATAAAAAGGTCTAGCTTGATAAAGTATCTTATATTGGCTTTTCTTTTGATGGGTGGAAATACTAATGTGACTATCTTTTCCTAGTGATTGACATAGACTACGCAGTTACTAGAGGTTGGGGACTTGGGGTCATATTTAATAATTCTGAAATTTTAAAGATACTTATTGATTATGCATTATATCCACCCTTGACTGTACCTCTATTTGAATCAGTTGCTCACATGGATCTAGGATCTACTTTTCCAAGTTGAACCTGAAGATCACTTAATACCTGTTAGAACTCTCACGTAGGGCCATCATCGCTTACCAGTGTTTGTGCAATTGTGACTTACACTTTGTTTCACGCAAGTGGGTTGCTTGGCTGAATGCAATATTCCCAAATATTAGCAACCGAGGTGTGCAATCGGTACTGCCTTGGCAGTGCATACCTCGGTAAACCTTAGTTCCAAAAAGGGCCATTAGCCAATTCAACCTATTCTATCATCTTTGGCCAAGTATATTCCTAATATTTGGGGAGCATTATGTATAAGCAAGATCCCTGCTGTTGATTGATGCTATGGGCAGGCACCCGTTGGGACATGCCTTTGTTGACTGCCTTTACGTTGCTTTTTATTATATTTTTATTTTTCAAAGCAATTATTTGACCCATTTGATTTTTAATTAAAATTTTCAGGTTACTATTTATCCAGGTAATGTTCTCGCTTTGCAAATGTCCAAGCCTGCCCAATTCCAGTATAAAAGTGGCCAGTACGTGTTCGTCCAATGCCCGGCTGTGTCTCCATTTGAGTGGTAACTTTGCAACAGTATCACTTATTTTGCACATATCAATTAATATAGACACTGCATATCTGTTTTGGTATCCAAGCTATTTCATATTCGAGTCTTTTGAATATCTTTTATTTTGCAAAAGCACTGGTTTGTTTTTACTAATTTATTTTCTTGATGCAACTGTAATGGTTAAATTTATTGAATTCTTGCTTATTCTTTTCCTAATGAGATTTTAGAATGTAATAGGGATGCTGAACAACATATGGAATTCTAATGATATTTTTGTGATGAACTTAGCTGGTTGTGATCTTGGCTAAACCCCACCTTATTTTTTCAACATAAGAGCATATAAAGTATTTGATATTGCAACTGCACTGGTTTATTTAAACAAGATTATTAACTCGTATGTACATATAGGTTCTCAAGTTGAAATGCTTAGTCACTAATAGAGACCCTTACTTAGCAATTCAGAGTTGGGTTTTAGAGTTTCAAGTCCATCTTCACAAAACAAATTTGATAACCGCTAGCCCACTTCCCCTCCAGGAGAATTAAAAGGGGGGGGGGGGAGTTCAAAAGAAGGAGAAAGAAAAACCTCACTATGCAGAAAACTTTTGGAATTTTCCCAACCTTTGGTCACTGGTTCTTATTTAATGGTCACGATCTTCTCTCAGATATCAGTAACACTTCAACCCAACCCAGAAATCATTTTAGTACTACTCAATATTGTTTCTAAACTTTGACATATAATTATTTGATAATATTTGGTGTAGATGTCTTTCTATGTGAATAATTTGCATGTTATGCTGTTAAGATATTGCCAACATTGATTTTCATACTACAGGCACCCGTTTTCAATTACATCAGCTCCTGATGATGATTACTTGAGCATCCACATCCGACAGTTAGGTAACTGGACAAAAGAGATCAAGAGGGTATTTTCAGAAGTTTGTGAGCCACCTGTTGCTGGGAGAAGTGGTCTTCTTAACAACTAAGAAAAAGTATGTAACATATTCTAACCTGCATTGAATTCAATATCTTCTGTGACATTATGATCTTTGTGACAAGTTAGGGATGATTGACATCTATGCCCCAACTTCAGGGGAAGTGATGTAATGCGTACTATATGTCGTAAGGGCATTTATATCTTTTTCCCCTCTTTTATTTTGTACGGTTACCCTAATCTATATAGACAAAATCTAGTGCCTCCAGCCAGAACTTTTGGTTCTCTCAACTCTTTCTTCGTTTTTTTTCCTCCTCTCTTCTCCCTCTTCTCTCTTCTTATTTTCTTCTAACTGAAAACAGTGAATCTTGTTTACCCTAGTTCACTAGCTGTCTCAGACTGGGTTTTGGTGTGGCCTGAATTCACACAAGTCCAAAATAGAAAATGATGGGGACAGGCTCAGGGAAGTGTTGGGGTTATAGTTTTGTATTTTGGATTTGTTCTGTTTTTTCCCCCTATCTTGTGATGTTTCTAGGTGTTGCCTTAACACCTGACCAGTTTGTAATAATTTTTTTTTTTTTCTTTTCATGAAATCTTTTCTTTTATTATAAAAAAAGTCTTTGTTACACTTACTAATCTCATGTATTGCTCTTAGTATTTGGGAAAGGCTCTTTTCTCTTTTCGGGTGCAAGTGTAATACTCCTACTTGTGTGGATGGCCAAAAAGAAGGGGAAGAATTATGTGGTGATGTGCAAGGGAAGCAGTGTTGCGGACTTATGTGGAGATGTTTCACTTGTAGGACAGCTTCCTGGCTAAAATCTCTGGAGCTGTTTTTACCATTCTCTGTGTTTTACATAAGAAATTGGGCTGCGGTAGTAGGTCATCTTCAAAATAGAGGAGGGAGATATGTGCATGGACAGGACTGAGCAGGGGCTTCCTAAAATTGAGCTGTGATGACAGCAGTGTTGAAAATACAAGGCCTTCCAAAATAGGGGTGTTTTCAGAAATGAGGGAAATGTAGTTGCAATGTTTTCAGGTCCAATTGCTAATGGGGATTCAATAAGAGCTGAAATTATGGCGGTTTGGAGTGTAGAAGTCTGTGGAAATGGATGTGTCTAATCAAATTATAGAAGGTGATTCAAATGTGGTAATAAGTTGGTTACTGGATGGGGACAAGTTATTTGGGCATACAGAAATCTGATGAAGAAGCTCAAGTGGTTGACTAGGAATCTACAAATAAAGGTTCAATGAGTTAATAGGAATGGCAAATGGAATGGCTGGTATGCTAGCTAAGCAAGGGGTTAATAGAAACCAAGTTTTTTGGGCTGAATTGTAAAAAATTGTATTGGGGGAGATAGCAGTTGCTATGCTCCATCGGGTTTAGCTGTTTTGTTTTTTTTTTTTTAATATTGAGGGGGAGGGGGGAATTCTTCAAAATTGTATATTTCTTGTAAATTTTAATTAATGAGGGGGGTGGGCTTCAGTTGGCCCTAAACCCAACCTGGGATGCTTAAGTTACCAATCTAGGTTTTGCTGGTGTGGTTGAGATTTGGGCCAATAAATCTCCCATATCAAAGCAAATGGCAGTTCCTTGTATAAATTTACTTAAGACTTGGCATAAACCTTCAATTTCATAGCTTGAATATTGAGTGCTCACATTTAAAAACAGTCACCCAGCCATGATTGCTCAGTTTAAGAAAGAGGTCTTCATCCTTGCTACAAGTTATAGAAAGAAAACTCCCTCCATCATCACCCCAAGCTAGCAAGATCTCATTAAGAGAATCATCCATGCAAGATACATCTAGCAAGAAGCAACCCATTGAGTATAGTGTTATCATCTTTTTGACAAAGGTCCCCTACAACAAGCAGATAAAATTGTTAATAACTAAATGTAGGTGAATTATTTCTCCTTCCTTTTCAATTAGTAAATAAAGGTAAAGAATCGCCATATGTATGGTTATCAGGTAGTGGCAAACCACAAAAATGGCATGCATAATTACAGATGCCAGATTCTGTTAAAGAAAATGAGACAGATCCTAATTCTTGAATGAAGAAATAGTAGTTCCCATAATCCCATCTACATAACATAACACTAGAGAGGATCTTTTTCTACAGTCTGTGATAACAACTGCAAAACTAAGGTTCTTAGACTAAGATCATGATTGTAACTTTATAAATTTAATATATTTATCTATAAATTATTTTTATTGTTTAGTTCAGTTTGCATCTTTTTTATAGGTAATAGAGCCAATAATACTTATATTAGAAAACAGAAACAAAGAAAATAGACAAGAACATATCTAGACCAGAAGGACCAGTCCTCAAGTAGAAGAAGACTTCAATGCATACTAAAAATATCTACATATTAAAAATATGTTTGTGCCCAGAAGATTACAAAGAACAATAAACATAGGAGTGCAGACAGATAGCAAAGATGAAGAAAGGAGTTTGCATTGTCAATGTTGCTCAGGGTGGTGTGATTGATGAAGAAGCCCTTGTGAGAGCACTGGAGGGTGGAATTGTTGCTCAGGTTCTTCTTGGTCCATTCTCAAGATTTTTTTTCTTTATTTGTTAAACTGCAGAATGAACATTGGATGATTTGTTTCTATTTGATGCAGGCGGCACTTGATGTCTTCACAGAAGAACCACCTCCAAAAGACAGCAAGCTGGTGCAAATTCTTTCTGACAACAGGTTCACAGAAGGACTAGGACTTGATAGCCTTTTCATTTCTAGAGTCTTGTGTTATGAGGAGCATATATCTGACAAATTCTTTCTGACTACAGGTTCTATCGGAGCTTGCACCATTTGTTGTACTGGCAGAGAAGCTTGGCAGACTAGCTGTAATCAAATTCTTTCTGACTACAGGTTCTATCATGTCATCAAATGCACATGGTTTGTGTAAAAGTGTTGACGGCTTGGCATTATAAAGTTATAGATAGGAGGAGCCCCATTAAGAATTCAGAGAGACCTCCTAAAATATGTGATCAATTTTTTAGTCTACACTGCAAATAGTATGTGATAAACAATTGATGTTATTTTTTAGGCAATTTCTTATTTTTCCCAAACCATGTGCTAATTTCCTGTTCATCATCAGTTAATATTTTCATGTACTTTATTTCTTTGTTTTGAGATATTTTGTGAAGTATAGTTATGAAACAAAAATGGGTTCAATTCTACAAACCATTCTTTTTTGTGAAGATTAAGGGTGGAAGACTTCAATTATACAAAGTTACGAACATTTTAAGGTGATTGTAATGGAAGGGAATATAGCATTTCTTCGTTCAATTATTAGAGGACAAACACCAACACATTGTGATTTTGATTTTTTATTTCTTCTTATTTGAAATTTTGAATATAAAGCATTTATTTTCTAGCTCTTGACAAAACCAATTCTAAGTATTTATTTTGAATATAAAGCATTAAAGCATCCGGAGGTCATTATCCTGTCATTAGCCCCTGCAAAGCAGGGGCCACCTCGCTAGTGTTAATGATTATAAAATCAGAAATGTTAATAATATATTAATAATTATTAACTAAGAATAATAATATTAATAATTAGCATTATTGATATAATTATCATTTAATTATTATTATTAATTCATATGAATATTAAATAATTATTATTAAGATCGTTATTAATTATCAGTAAATAATTAAACCAATGATGGTTTAAAACCCTTAATAATAGAAATAATTATAATATTAATATTACTGAATTTAATATTAGTAATGCTAATAATAATATTTATATGATAATTATAATATTAAATTCACTGATATAAGTAATTAATACTACTGACATCAGAAATTTTAATATTAATATTAATGATTATAAATCAGTAATATTAATATGAATGTTGGGTTGTGATCACAGCTGAAAGTTGACCATCAAGGACTTCATAAACACCATCGCATGAGCCTCCCGGTCACCGGCGGCCAATCGTAAATGATTGTCAGTGGTCGGTGATCTCATCAGATATTAATGAAGAGCCGGTGGTCGCCTGTATTAAAAAAAAAAAAAAAAAACACATCCCCCTATCACATCCCCTATCAGGTTGAAACTCAACCACCGGCAGCTTGATAAACACCATGGTATGAGCCTTCCGGTCACTTGGGGGCCAAACATAAATGATCACCGGTGGTCGATGATCTCATTAGATATTAATGAAGAGCCGGTGGGTAGCCTGTATTAAAAAAAAACCCCTATTTGGCTGAAACTCGACCACCGACGACTTCATCCACATGGATGGTATAACGGTCCCGACCACTAGGGGTGAGCGTTATACGGTTAAAACTGAAAAACCAAATTTTTGTTTCGATTTTTTCAGTCGGTTATTTTGGTTTTTGGTCAACGGTTTTTTCAATTTTTAAATATTTTTATTTTCGGTTTTTATAATTAGAAAATTGGTTAACTAAAAAAATCGAATTGACTGAACTTTGCATGTAAAATATAATATATAACATATTATATTTAATATATAATATATTTTGTATATATATTAATATATATGTTATGATATATATAATAGTATATATATTTTTGAAATTCGGTTTTAATCGAAAACCGAACCAAAAGTCTTGGTTGGGGTTATTTCAGTTTTCCTCTAATTTGGTTTTAGTTCGATTTTCATTTTTTTAATTCAATTTTTAAAATTTTAAAATATTCAACTCGATTTTTAATTGAATAAAGTTTCGAACAAAATTTTTGAATATTGTTCCCGTATTTAGAATGAGGCAGTGAGTTCCGTGTGAGGTGCGCTTAATAAGGAGCAGAGCCCAAAAATTACGAACACCACACTGACAAGAGATTACGAACACACACTACAGCGAGGGAGGTGTGGAACCAGTAGGCACTTTTGCTTCTGTAAGTGCACTACAGCACCACCTTACCACAGTCCACCGTTTTTCTTCGGACGCTCCTGCAGTGAGTCTGTGATAACTGCTTGTTTCAACAATTTGGCTTCTTTCTGTTCCTTATCGAGCCAGTTGATTTCTTGGCATAACCGGCGGCTTCTCAAAATGAAGGTGAAAGATGTTATGTATTCAAGAACCTGGAATCGATTTTACTACCCGCTTCTCCTTTCTCTCAAATCCATCATCATGAGCAGAAACAACAGCTTTTCCATGACTAAGAAAACCCATTTATCTACTTCGGTCTTCTCTGCAACAGTACCCAAAGATGTTTCTCCGACAGCTACCAACACAGTGGTTAAATCTAGCCAAGCGCGGACGATCCCCGACAAGATACTGAAGAAGGCGTGTCTACAGTCCCCCGGAGGCTTGCTTCGATTCAAGCTCGACTTGTGCTCAGTGAGTGGTGATCTTGTTGAAGCACTTCGCCTTTACGATGATGCTCGGAGTAAGGGAATACCACTTCATCAGCGCCACTATAATGTTCTTCTCTACCTTTGTTCTTCTTCGGTTGAATCGAGGGGTGGCAGGAACGATGATGACAGCTCGAATTTGGGACTGAGAAGGGGTTTTGAGATTTTTCAGCAAATGGGTATTGATGGAATTGCTTCAAACGAAGCAACATTTACTAGTGTAGCGAGATTGGCGGTTGCAAAGGAAGACCCAGAAATGGCTTTTGATCTGGTTAAGAAGATGAGAAGTTTTGGTATCTCGCCGAAGTTAAGGTCGTATCTGCCGGCGCTGTTTGGGTTCTGTAAGATGGGGGAGGCTGATAAGGCTTATGAGGTTGATGCCCACATGGTGGCGTCTGGTGTCACATTGGAGGAGCCAGAGCTTGCTGCGTTGTTACGGCTTAGTGCCGATGCAGGGAGAGGAGATAAGGTGTATGAGATGCTTCATCGGTTGAGAGCTACTGTGAGGCAGGTATCTGAATCGACAGCTGAAATTGTGGAGAGCTGGTTTAAGTCCAATGCTGCTGCAGGGGTTGGGAAAGAGAATTGGGATGTGGCCAGGGTGAAGGAAGGGGTCGTGAGGGGCGGAGGTGGGTGGCATGGGGAAGGGTGGCTGGGGAAGGGAAAATGGAGAGTCGTGAGGACTGATGTTAATGATAGAGGTATTTGTCGTTGTTGTGGGGAGAAACTCGTTTGTATCGATATTGATCTATCGGAGACTGAGAACTTTGCTAGCTCGTTGTCCAGCTTGGCTTGCCGGAGAGAGGTCAAGGGTGATTTCAACAATTTCCGGGTAATTACTATCTTCATTTTTATTTTACATTTTTTTTTTTTTGTGTTTGTCTTTCCTAATTTTGACGATTTGGAGGACTTGGTTTGTTTTGATTTATTGAATTTCATAGGTTATTACGCTTGAACTTGTTTTTTTTTTTTTTCCTTTTTTTTCTTCTGATCATGTGACTGAAAGTTTGAAATGGTCTAATTGGAAAGAACATGATTATGTTTTAGTCTTTTACAACAAACAATCTCAAAATTGAATAATTTTAAACTCATTTTTAAATGCTCTAAGAAGTAAGAATTGTCAGAGGTGATCTTGTGGACGTAGTTATTGGTTTTTGTAAGTTTAGGCGATTCCTTTATTAACTGATTATTATTGTTTTTTCCTGCTGATACCTCATGTCTCCCATGTTTCTGTGGTTCATAGGAAATTTCTTTGTGATACAGGCTTGCAATTTCTGAGAAGAAATAATGTAAAATGTTGATGGCTATTTGAACTGAGTTCCGACACAAAATGAATCTGTTTTTGAGGCTAAACTTTGTAGCTTCAAAGATTCATTTCTTAGGATGAGTTTTGAGCCCAGAAAAAGAATTAGATCCGGCAATTTTCATAAACCCAAACTTAAAAGTGATTCTTAAAATCACAAGATTTATCACAATTAATTCTGTGGAAGCATGCTAAATGCATCCTATAATATTACACTAACTAGATATCGATATGATAAAATACCTCTTTATGGGAGCTTAATTAGAAGAACTTCATTAAATTTCTATATTTCTCAAGGGCAGGCAACAAGGTACTAAATGCTCTTCCCTTTTTCTTTACGCGGTCAATAAGCCCAAATTTTAGAATGGTTTTTATCATTCTGAAAGCAAAAGTTTGGGAGTTAAAGTGGAAAAGAGGCTTATTTTATGAGATGGGGACTTCTGAAGTGCTTGAATATTGCATTCTTTTCCATGGGGTTTTAGATAGAAAAAGGCTTGGGTCTGCATGGAGAGAGGAGAGAGGACACCATGTTTGATTCTGTTCATTGTGACCGATGCTGTAGCCAACCTCCCAATTTATTTCCTGTCCACCTTTAGAATACCATCTAGGATAGCAGGTTATCTGGAAAAGCTTATGGGGAATTTTTTTTGTGGGAGTTTGGGGATGAGAAGAGGGACCATCTAGTGAAGTGGGACAAGTTAGTAAAACGAAGGAGAAGGGAGGACTAGGTACAGGGAACCTGATTCTTAGGAATACCTCTTTACTAGGTAAGTGGCTCTGGAGGTTTCCATTGGAAAGAGATAGGATGTGGCATAAGGTCATTGAAAGCATTCATGGGATGATGAACAATGGCTGGGATGCAAAGATGGCCCTTTCTTCAACTTCAAGTTCTCCTTGGAAAGCAACCCAAAAGCTATACCCAGTCTATTAATTTTATTAGCTTTGATGTGGGGGTGTGGCTCAAGGATTCTTTTTTGGGAAGACATTTGGTTGGTTGATATTTCTCTTAGTTCCCTTTTCCTGGGCCTTTATTCAGTGTTTGACTAAAGGTGTCAACCAATCTCGAGATTTTCACCTTCTCTTCTTCGGCTGTAAGGTGGGATTTTGATTTTAGAAGGGGGCTGAGAGATAATGAGTGTGAGACCCTTATTCAGTTGTTAGATAAACTCAAGTTTGCTTTCTTGGTTCAAACTGTGGAGGACACTAGAGTCTGGACTACCTCCCCCGATGGTATTTTTACTTGTTCCTCTTTTTTCAATTAACTTTTGCAAAAAATTTCCTAGTGAAAGAGATTTGGAGTAAGCCCATACCACCCAAAGTTCAAGCACTATGCTAAGAGGTTTTTCTTGGAAAGGTGAACGCATGTGATATGCTTCAAAACAGGAGGCTGAATAAATGTCTTTCCCCACATGTGTGTTTTCTTTGTTTTGAAAATGGTGAATCCTTACCCCATTTACTAATCTCTTATCCTTTTTGTTTCTTTTTGGTTGCAAGTGGATAATTCACCAGGCTGTAGTGAGTCTCTTTGGTCCAAATTTCCTAAGACAGCCAACAAAAAGAGGGAGAACAATATGGAAGACAATTAAAGCTGTTATGTTGTGGACCATTTGGGAGGAGAAGAATGCAAGAATATTTAATGAGAAGCTCAGGTCAAAGGAGGACTAGGTCGACATAATAAAATAAAAGTGGCTCATTGGGTAAAAAACTCTTGACACCTTCCAATGTTTTACAGTGACTGATATATAAGGGCTTGGAATGAGGTGTTACACTCCTCTAAAGAAAAGGAAAGAGAGATGATGGAATGGAAGCCACCAACAAGGGATAAGATAAAGTTAAATTTTGATGGGAGCTCTATGGGAAACTCAGGGATGGCAAGTATTGGTGGTGAGTTTAGAGACTCCTCAAGTGCAGTACTGGCTATGTACTCAGGACCTATAGGAGAAGGGGACTTATTAAAGGCTGAACTGATGGCACTTTTACAAGGCCTAAAACTTGCTACGCAATCCAATTTTAGAAATCTAGAAGTTGAGGGAGATACAAAAGTGGTTATTTCTCGGATCACTTCAGTAGAAATCTTGCTGAATTAAAAATCTGTGAAAGAAAAGATGTTTTCTTGAAGAAGAGAAGAGAGAAGAAGAAGAAGAGGAAGAGGTTTGAGAGAGAAAAGAGAGCTCTTAATTTGGCCGCCTCCTTCACTAGTATTTATATTAAAAATATAAAGTGGAGTACAATGACAAATATGCCCTTATATGGCGGCAAGCATCTAAAACTGCATAAAACACTAAAAAGGCAATCAACAAAGGGCCCAACAAGAGTGCTGTGGTCCCCACTTCCCATCTAAACATTAAACATGTAAAATATTACTGCTAAATCTGCACAAAACTGATTAAATTCTCAACACTCCCCCTCAAGTTGGGAGTAAATGTCACACATTCTCAATTTGCGTAGGTCATGTTCAAGCTTGTTCTTCGCAACTCCTTTAGTGAGGACATCAGCCAACTGCAATTCTGAAGAGATGGATGTAGTAATGAGTGTGGCTTGGACCCCCTCACCTAGTGGATTCTTGAAATTAAACTTTGATGGATGTAGTAGGGGAAACTCGGGACAATCGGGGATCGGGGGTGTTTTTAGGGATGAAAATGGGGTCATCTCTGCTATGTTCTCAGGCCCAATTGGAGTGGGTGACTCCCTTAGAGCTGAGATCTGTGCAGTTATGGAAGGAGTCCGGAAAGCTAAGGAATTGAACATCAAGAAACTYATAATTGAAGGGGATTCAGAGGTGGTGATAGGATTGCTGACTAAAGATCAAAATGATTTATGGAAGTATAATAATGAGAAGAGGAAATTCAAATGACTGGTGCGGGAGATGGAAGTTAAGACATGTTGGACTAAAAGATCAGCTAATTCCCTAGCTGACGGTTTAGCAAAACAAGGGGCATAAAGGGATTCTTTGTTTTGGGCTAAGCTGTAACGTTAGTGTCTTTGTATCTTTGTATTTTCTTTTTTCCTTTCTTGAAGTTCTTTGTGACTCTTGGAAGATATGTGTGTTTGTCTTCCGCTTGTAAATTTTCTACTGATGAATTAATGAAAGTGTTATTGATAAAAAAAAAAGAGACATAAGGCAAGCAAACTTCTCTAGTTGTTACCCTCTCTCTTATGAAGTGCCTATCAACTTCAATGTGTTTTGTCTTGTCATGCTGAATTGGATTATGGGCAATATTGATTGCAGCTTGGTTGTCATAGTATAACATCATAGGTTCCTCTACTTTTATCCCAATCTCACTCAGTAGGGATCTAACCAAAGGTAGTTCTGAAACACCATGAGCCATGGATCTATATTCAGCCTTTGCACTTGATCTAGCCACAACTGTCTGTTTTTTTACTCTTCCATGAATTCAGGTTTCCACCCACAAAGGTACATACCCCTGATGTAGATCTCCTATCATCTAAACAACCTGCCCAATCCGCACCTGTATATCAAAATTTCATGGTCTGAGAAAAGAATATCTCTGTTGGGGTGCTTCTTCAGGTATGCAAGTATTCTTTCTGTTTTGGAGCAGCTACAGTAATCCGAACCAGTGAAGAAGGAAGAAGAAGATGAGGAAGAAGACAAGAGAAAGAGAGAACAGGAGGGTTTAGTC